GAGTTGAATTACACCATTTGGGTAGTACTGGGATAACTACTTCGGGTGATTTAAGTATTTCTCAAATCAAAACATTTCCCTGGAAGTGGATCAATCTTGAGTTAATCAGATATTGCATTTTGCTCTTCAACTGATCACAATCCTCTGTGAAATGACCAATTGCCCCAGTATGATATTCGCAGCTAGCATCCGGGTTGAATCCTTGTGGATATGGGGGGTCTACCCTCTTGGAAGGGATAGGAGTCAACAATGATCTTTGGAAAAGTTGCGGCAACAATTCAGCATATGACATTGGGATTGGATCATAGAAACTCTTCCTCTTTCGCTTTCGGGACTGCCTTTCGATACCATTTGTAAAGGTATAACATGATGTTTGTGGAAAATAAGGTGTTTGAGGTTGACTGAGGATTTCTGTGAATGAGGTTTCCTCTTCCATATCTTCACTTGCATGATCACTTTGAATAACCTTGTTGGCGAAGCTTTTCTTTATTTTTCCGCTCCCGAAGCGATTCTCAATTCTCTCCCCTATTCTTATAATCTGGCGGAAATCTGAATGGAAATTTCCAACCATCCGATCAAAGAAGGGTGGTTGCAGGGTATTGATAAACATTGAGACACTTCCCTCATCAGACAATTTGGGCTTCACCTGAGCAGCCAACCCTGCCCATCTTTGGACATACTCCCTGAAGGTCTCGTTACTCCTCTTGGACAATTGCTTGAGTAGCGTCATATTAGGATCTTGATCAATATTATAATTGTATTGTTTAAGGAAAGCGTTACACAAATCCTTGAAACATTTGATATGAGAACGTTCGAGACGCGTGTACCAAGTGATGGAAGCTCCTGTAAGGCTCTCCTGGAAGGCATGGATAAGCAAATTGTCATCCTCAGTATAGGGAGTCATTTTCCTTGCATACATGATGAGGTGATCCTTAGGACAAGAGGTTCCTTGGTATTTTTCAAATTCAGGCATCTTGAACTTCGGTGGAAATGTCACACTTGGGACCAAGCACAAACTCGTGACATCCTTCAGACCAGAGGAACTTGCTTTCTCGATAACTTTAATTCTTGCTTCGATCGCCTTAATTTTCTCCAAATCTTGAGGATTTGCAACATTGTTGGGAGCAGAGGAGTGATTGGGATTATCATGGACAATTGGGGTCTCCATGTGACCGGAAATTTACAAATTTGTCTTTGAAGATTATGTATCAATACAAATAGTTGGCTTATCTTGTGCAAGCTCACGAGCAAGATCTTTTCTTCCTCCTTAGACCGTTTCAGCTGAGTCCAATAACATCACCTTTAACATCCATTTTCCACTCGTGAGTGTCCTTGATATAATATGAAATGTATGCAAAATTGACTTTTCACTTATATATGAGGTGCATGAATGGTTGACATATATGAATGACACGAGGATATAATGTTTAGGTTCATAGAATATGCACCCATGTTATTATTTTTCTGTTTATGATAATATATGAAATGACTCCCTTTTTTATTTTTTTATTTTATGCATGCATGCCCAAGAGATGAAACTCGTGATGATATATATTTTTTTTATGTATGTATGGAGGAGAATTGATTGTTGGTTTTTCACTGTTGAATGTATGTATGAATGTGTGAATGATATCTCTTATTTTTGACTATATATAATTTTTTATGAATGTTATGATGGTGATTTTTTCGATGAATGATTGGATGAGTTGCACTAATGAATGTATGAATGGTATGCATGAGCATGATGCACTGATGTTAATGTATTTTGTACGCCCGTAGGGTGTGATAGACTCTAATTAGGGGAATGTAACCTTAATTTACAATATAGCAACATGTCATGGTAGATTTGACACTTATTATACTGTTAAGGCAAGCTTGGAGTTAAACGGTAAAATCCCGAGCTTATTGAGATATTGGAAAATTGATCCCTAGGGCGCTTAGCCAACGATAGGGAATGAAAATTATCCCAAGGGCGCGTAGCCCACAGTAGGGAATAGAAATTGTCCCTAGGGTGCTTAGCCCATGGTAGAGAATGAAAATTATCCCTTAGGGCGCCTAGCCCCTGGTAGGGAATGAAAGTTATCCCTAGGGCGCGTAGCCCCTGACAAGGAATAAAAATTATTTAGCCGTCCTCGTGCAACAAAGACATCAAAGTGCAATGTCATCCTTAAAACACTCAGGCGTGAATATTTTTATGAGGGACATAAGTCCCAAATTATGAATGATGATGGATAAAATTTAGGTTATGCTTCCGGTGTCCTAAACAAGGTGCACTTACAATGTTTTGGATAATCTAAAGGTCACAACCCTATGGTGAGGTACTAGATGTCAATTAAAGTGATCTCGAGAAAAGAAAGTTTTAGACTTCTAGGTTACCAGATTGCATCCAATCCCTAAAGAAAGGAAACCCAAAATATTGCAAGTTATAAACAGGAGAAGTCTAGCCCCTCAAGCGTATAACTCGCAATATTTGGTAACAATCTGGGTGGTCCATCATGCTAATGCCAGTGAGATAAAATCTAACACCAGGCAGAGCGGATGTCCCCCTTATTACAAACTTACTCTCTAACACCCGGGTCTAGGGCATATGTGTGTGCAAAACTCAAGTGTGCAGTGTTAGTGTGTGGGGAAGCGTACAAACCTTCTCTTACAAATAAAATAAACCCACACCCCAAAAACTATGATACAACAATTACCAAAGATAAGTGAATAAAGAAATATAATAAATAATAATTTCTTAACATAAACAATAAGAAAAAAAAAAGGGTATTAAATCCATGTAATTAGCGCCTCTAGGCTCACCCTCTTATGGGTGTCCCCAGCGGAGTCGCCAGCTGTCGCGACCCGATTTTCGGTTAGAAGACCGGCCCTGCGACTTGGGGAGAGGCGAGCTCGATTTCTACCTCTTCCAATTGATTTGGAGTCGCCACTACGTTTTTTGCGGTTAAAACGTAGAAAACTCTAAACATGCCCAATTAAGATAATTTGGTCTTTAATCAGAGATTCTGAGCTCGGGAGTCGATTACGGATCGGGGAAGGTATTAGCACCCTGTCCGCCCGTATTAAAACGGTACCCTCGCTAATAACATGGACTTTTATACCCCTAAAATTATTTATTAAAATTCAGTAAATAAAAACAAAATGTTTTATTTTTTATTGTTGTGCCTGACAAGAGCTCATCTTGCTCCTACGTATCCCTAGGTGCAATAGGGAAATCAAGGCTACGTAGTTCTGGTTTGAAAATTAATTGGTGTTGGTTTAGTTTGTTTGAAAAGTTGATGTAAATTGTATTCTCTTTAAGAAAAGATGAAGTAGCAGAAACTAATGTCCGCACCATATCAAATCTTTAAAGAGATTTTGAAAGTAATTAAACTACTGTGTTGAAATTTATTTATCTTTAAGATATATATTATTTTTGAAATAATTGAAATGAATTGTTTGAAATTTATTTATTTTTAAGATAGATGAAGTAGCAAGACTAATGCCCGCGCCGCATCAAATCTCAAGGAATATTTTGAAGTGGTTTAAAATATATTATTGAAATTTATTCACCTTTAAGATAGATGAAGTAGCAAGACTAATGCCCGCGCCGCATCATATCTTAAAGAGATTTGAAATAGTTTTAAAATTATTCACCTTTAAGATAGATGAAGTAGCAAAACTAATGCACGCGCCACATCATATCTTAAAGAGATTTGAAATAGTTTAAAAATATATTATTGAAATTATTCACCTTCAAGATAGATGAAGTAGCAAGACTAATGCCCGCGCCGCATCATATCTTAAAGAGATTTGAAATAGTTTAAAAATATATTATTAAAATTATTCACCTTTAAGATAGATGAAGTATCAAGACTAATGTCCACGCCGCATCATATCTTAAAGAGATTTGGAAATAGTTTTAAAAGATATTATTGAAATTATTCACCTTTAAGATAGATGAAGTAGCAAGACTAATGCCCGCGCCACACCATATCTTAAAGAGATTTGAAATAGTTTAAAAATATATTGTTGAAATTTATTCATTTTTAAGATAGATGAAGCAGCAAGAACTAATGCCCGCACCGCATCAAATCTTAAAGAGATTTTGAAATAGTTTTAGAATATATCGTTGAAATTTATTCATTTTTAAGATAGATGAAGTAGCAAGACTAATGCCCGCACCACATCAAATCTTAAAGAGATTTTGAAATAGTTTTATAATATATCGTTGAAATTTACTCATCTTTAAGATATATGAAGTAGCAAGACTAATGCACGCGCCGCATCATATCTTAAAGAGATTTGAAATAGTTTAAAAATATGATTATGTTATAAATTGACTTGTCTAATTAATTATGCGTACACTTATATAAACTCAATAGAACATTTCTAGTTAAATAAGATTATTCTTTACAATTATGAGATTAACTACCAAGAAACGATAAATAAATCAATGAGTAGAAATATAAATAAATAAACAAAATATATGGGCCAAGGGCCCAAAGCCAAGATCTGGTGGAGAGAGGGATAGGGGTTAGTAGTGGTTTTTTTCATTCTGGACCTTAGGGTTTTGAGGAGGTTGAGAAGATAGAAGTGAGAAGAGAAGAGAAAGTGAGAACACGGGAGAGAATCGCGCCTCGTCTTCTCTGGCTCCTCCTTCCTCCGTTTCATCACCGACGGCCGCCCTGCTTTGACCACGTCCTCATTCCTTCTCCATTTCATTCCTTGGAAAGGGGTTTCAAATCCCTAACCCCCCAATATTTTGTTTCTTCGGCCTCCGGTAATAGCAGCGGCTTTCCTACGGCGAGGACGCCGGTAGTGACGGCTCACAATTCTCTTCTGCCTCGATTTGAAGGTTAAGCAGTTCGTAGTTTTGACACTCAATGTATGTTGGAATGGATTCGGTAACCAACTCTAACCCTTTCTGTTTATGTATTAATCCCTATATTGTTTGTTTTCGGCTTATCAAATTTTGTGCGATTATGCTTCGTATCTTGATTCTATGCGTGTGGTTAGGCGGGCTTGAACATGCAACTTGCTTTCGAAGACGCTAGGATTACTGGATTTGGATTCCTCTGCTTGTTGTGATGAATGGGTTTGTTAAATCAGGTTGTATTGACTGCTTGTGTGTGTAGAATAGCTGATCTCTGATTGCTATGGTATGTGGTTTACGCGTATGTTATGTTTTTTGTTGTGGTGACTTGCATAGTATGTGGGATATGTGTCATGATGCTCTCTGCTTGATGTATGTAGTCTGTGAGGAAGGTTTATGCTTTTTGTGTGTGTGTTCTAATGGGATTGTATGGTGGTGTGTAGTATTATTCCTGCCTGCTTCAGTGTGAGGCGTATTGATGATTTGTTGTGGTGTTTTGTGATATGATGGAATTGTGAGTGTATGCTATGTTGTAGATGCATATATATGTATTCCGATGAGATATGTGTGATAGGTAGATGAATGATATATTGCTTTTTGACTTGTTATATGATCTGGGTATGATGTATAGCAGCTGTTCTGACATGTGTGTTAGGTGGGAGTGTTTGTGAAGTATATCATCTCTCTCCCTTTTCTTCTTGAATTGTCTCTCCTTTTATATTGCCTCTGACTAACCTCTTGGGTTGCCAATTGATAACCCTCTGGACTGCCCTTGATTACTACACATTACCTTCTTTATGAGTATTATCAATGCTTAACTATTTGTAACTGAGTCAGACTTTTGGTATTTTCTGATTATTCTCCTTTTAACTGCCCACTTTTGCTCTTTAATAAAGTGTAACTGAAATGCCAACAACCATGATTTTATATCTCCTTAATAAGTTTTCATGGGTAATTTTCCTTATTTCTAGGTAAACATTGCATCTTTAACTGGACTGACATTGTCATTTTTGATATGATTACTTGTTGTCTTCTGACTTTTTCCTCATGGTTGTTTATTTTCCTTTGTATTAACTCCATATTTGCTTTGTTAGTGCATTCTAGTTATCTGTTTTGAAATCTTTGGCATCGTGTGATCATTTTGATTGCTCCACTAATGTGTAACTTAAAGGATATGCCATTTGACTTGCTTCTTTTTGCAACTCACGATTGAATCACTCTCCCTCTATCTCTTTCTTTTTGCTTTTCAATATTGATCCACACCATGACTATTGGCTAGATGCATATTTGTTTTGCTATCTTACTCATCTTGATCATTCTATTATGTCACTTTACTGCTTTGCTGAATTAAACAGTGTGAACTTGGCATTTTATGGCTTCCTTTGGTGATGTCTCTTAAACTATCCTCTCTTACCATACGCTTGAGTCCAGATTATTCTTCAACCATCATGAGTTCTCCACCCTTTCTACCATGACAGTGGGTAAGTGCTGTTTGCTTGCCTTTTTCCCTTGAATATCAATGCTTTTGGGAGATTTGCTCTGAACAAGCTGCTAATTTATCGTTTGTATGTGTGCCATTGCAGATTGAGATTATCACTAGCCTCTCCATGCATCCTGTTACGGCCAACAACCTTATAACAAGTCCAGTCCCTCCTTACAAAGCTCATCACTATGGTGTAGGTTGATTTTCCAACTATGAAGATGGTGCGTGAAAGTGGAGGCTGCACTAGCGGACTTGTTGCTGCCCGTAGGCTTAGGTCTCCTTTCAGTGTCTAAAATTATATTTGGCTTGCTGCTCATCTAGCACTAGGACTTTTTGTATATGCTCCATTTTATGACCATTGGTGTCAAAGAATTGGATTGACTGAACGAGGCTAATGATATTAAAAAAAATAGTTTTATTGCATATGTAACAACATAGGACTTGTTTTGTTATGGTTTTGAAGAAGACATGATATTGAACTATTTATTAATATTCGAAGATAAATGCGGTACAAAAAAATGACCCAATTTTTGTGACTTTTTGTTGCTTTGAATTTTTTTTGTATTTTTTTATAGGCCAGACAAAATTGAGTGTTCACAAAGAAGAAGCAAATTTAGTTTGATAGTATTTCATTAATCCATATTTCACTCCATTGAATACTCAAGGAGCAGTTTACAACAAAGTAACTATTATTTAATAGAGAAAAACAGAGAAGATTCAGAGAGAATAGAGAGAGTTTCCACTAGATATTTCTCCCCTCCTTTTGTGCTCCTTTGTCTCTATATATAATCACGTAAACGTGAATTCTCTTGCCTGGTTCTGTTGCTACGCCTCAGCCCCTGATTTTGAGGATCCGTAACTGTATTCTCTTTCCTTGTTGATTCAGCATGTGGATTTGTTGGGGTATGAGCTGAGCTCTTTGTGATTTTGCTGGTATGAGGGCTGATTGAGCATTTCCATTTGTTACAGTCAACTGTCTTATTTGACCATAAATAAGTCTCTTGCTCTATTTAGTTACAACAGATTTTTAAGAAATCTCTAGGTTTATAAACTTTGGCTTATTAAATCAATTGAATTGAAGTGACTTATGTCTTAAATGCTCTTGACTTATATAATTCACTTCACATCATTTTACATTTATTTGCCCCCTATAATCTAGTTTTGCCAAATACTTTTAGGTCAATAAGTTAATTTTTCAGCCAACCATTCATTGCCCAATCTGCTTTTCAACCAATTCTGTCAAACACAACCTTGATAAAGCAATTGAAGTGACTTATATCTTAAAATCTTTTGACTTATATTAGTCATTTTACATCAATTTACTCTGAGAATTTACCCAAATACTTTTAGTTCTTAGTTTACCAACCTACAACCAAATTTTCATTGCCCTACTTGTTTTTCAGCCAATTATGTTAAACACATATTAATATCTAACCCATCTAATCATTTGCCTAAGACCAATCATTAAATTTTCTGCCCCTTTTTACACTGTTAAGAAGTAAGTCTCACATTGTCTATCTCATTGTCTCGGAAATTATGTAAATATCTATTTGGCTACTCCCCTCATTGCCAATTGGTTTTGAGATGAAAACTTAACAAGGTATCAGACTTATGAGTCAAAGGTAATCTTTCGCGTGATCCGGCATGCTTATGTGGAGGGGGCATGTTGGGAAGTAAGTCTCGCATCGTTTACCTCATTGTCTCGGAAATTGTTTAAATACCTATTGGACTATCCTCTCATTGCCAATTGGTTTTGAGATGAAGTCTTAACCCACACAGTTGTCTACCAAAAGCTTCAACAACATGCTAGAAAAGCACAGTACATTTCATGAAAGTTTGAAGGAGGTGTTAATGAGTTCAAAATAATGACTTTGGTAAATATTGATTGTTCTACTTACAGGATGTCTCCGAAGCAAGAATGATGGGTTGTTCTTGCTTAATCTTTGATCTAGATTTCTTCAAACAAAAACAGATCATAGCAGTAGAAATAATGTCAAGCACAACACTGTTAAAATATAGTCCCTGCACACCAAATGGAAATATGCATTAGTTCATGATCTTGAGTAATGCTTGCTAAAAATACATTAAACTTTCCTAAGCAAAAATAGAGGAACTTCAAATATTTATATGTGTATTATCTTTCGTTTTTCTTCCATTTACATTACAGTACCTTCCCGACATCCTTCCCTATATCATTTGGTTTTTTTGGTATCACGTGTTAGAATAACCGAGTACTAGAGAGGATCTCAACCCCTTCCTAATACCAATTCTAATCTCAAACACACTGCAATAAGCATTGTTATGTAAATTGCAATATAAGTTATCATCCTTATATTGTTTCATTTTGTTTGTGATCATAATCAAACATGGTAGTTTAAGAGATTTAAATTGCTGAATGCATAGTGTTTATTGGAGGTAAAAATCTTAAAACACATGAAATAACATTAATATACACATAAATGTGACACAGGCTACAAAAACTAGCAACCAAATTCTGAAAGGAAAAAAGTTGTCACAACATTTCACTTTTGGCAAGAAGTCCTGCATCTATCTATATGTTAGTTGTAACTTGTAAGCTAAAATTCTGCCATTGGGAGGCCTTGGTAAAGTCAGGGTCAGATAGAACGAGCACAAGTTGTCTGTGCCACTTCTATGTACCACTAATTACAAATTCACATGTCAATTAAAGTTGCACCATAATAACTAATCAAAAGTTAACAAAACATAAATGTGAATTTGTAATTGGTGGCACATAAAAGTGACATAGAAAAATGGCATAGACAACTTGTGCTCAGATAGAATTGTAATAGTTGCCGATGAACTTGAATACAAAAAGTTGAAAACTGACTAATATTTATAGCTTTTAATAAATCTTCACTCTAGTGATAAATGCTTAATCTGGCAAGTGATGTTGGTGCTTTTGGTCAGGAGTTACAGCACTATATCCTCATAGTAAATGGGATCTTGGTACATGGGAAATTCAATCAGCACTATATTCTTTGAGGTTTCGATAATATTTTTAACCAAACCTTTAATGCAATGGTTAATAGTTCTTTTTCACTTGTAAATTTTTTCGCTCATTCCACATCTTATTTAATGTGAAACTTCACAGTTAAATATAACTGACACAACTCAGCCAACAACCATAATGAAAAAAAGAAAAGTAATTCTTCACAATCCAATTTAGTAACTGGAATCAAGGAAAGAAAATAAATGAGAAGAAAAATCTAAAATTAGCATGCCTTTGATCATTACTCTATAGAGTCTCTACACAAAGTGATATCAAAATCATTGATAAACAAAAATCTCATAGAATAAGAAGAAAAAATAGAGAGTCAACTCATTGTAATGAAGCTTTGATATGATATGACATGATATAATGATACCTTCTCGAGCTATAACATTTCTCAGATATTGAACAATGAACAGTAATTCGTACATATATATAACATGAAATGTTACACAGATGTACAAGACTTATAAAAAGCTGAAGTGGGTGAGCTTCATTTCATAAATGAGTCTTTATTCTTCTTAATTGATTAATTTTAATTTGTTCCGTGTATGACTCAATTCTGGTATTTCCTTTGTTTATTATGTTGATAACATTGAATGTAGCTTTCTATATGAAAATTATGCCTTAAATGGCAAAATAATATGTGATGTTATGTGTAAGTTGACTTTGCATAATATCATTAGGAAAAGGAATTAGTTGGAATTGGAAAGCATGAAGCTAGCTTAGAAAAACCGACCATGACATATGAAGTAGAGTAGATGATACATACATACATGTACGGATTGGAATATATCATATTTTGAACCTTCGACTATTGTAATATGAGGTGATGAAATTTGATGCTTTTCGATATTATTTTACTAAAAAATAATTCAAATTTGGATCGTTAAAGAATCATTTGTCACGTACAAATATCTGCACAAAGTACTGGACTCTCTTGTACCTAAAAGTATATCTACCCTAAATTGCTCCTTCTCAATCTTTGTTTGGTTATAACGGAAGATAAAACAAAACAGCACACTAAAGCCTCCTCAATCTATCCATTCATGTGATTTTTAATTGAGAAAGAAGATTATTTTAAATGTATTATTTTCGACTTTAGAAAGTGGACCTGACAGATTCAACAAACAACAGGCAGAGTGTTAAAAACTACAAATTGTTAGCAATTGTTTTTTAAATTTCTTATTGTGATAGTGATTAAAGGGGGTATGTGGAAAGAAAAGGGGGTAAATGAAGGTTGATAGGTAAAGGCAATTTACATGCAAATTTAAAGTGTAAGGACAAACAAACTTCTTTATTAAATCTGCTTTCTTTCTTAGTCTAAGTTATTTAAGTTATTGGTTGTAAACAAGTAGGAAGGATGTTTGAACAGGCCAAATAGTAAAAAAGAATAGGAAGAGGAGATAATAACACAGAATTTAGTAACGATGTCCGATCAATTGTGTCTACGTCTCCGTAAGTGTTGAGAGACTACAACTATATATTAGAGAATAAGGATTTGTATTTATGGTTATTGTTGTTCTTCTCATTAAGTTTATATAACACATAAGTATATAGTTCTTTACCTTAACACCTTTACCTCATCCCAAGACATAACTTTTATGTTTGTTTTATGGTGAAAATGTCTGGTCCAATGGAATATGAGTCATTGCACAACAATCTCCGCCTTGACAAATATCATCAATCTCCACCTTCTATCGTTGGATCGGAGCCATAGTCTAGCATCAGTGAATATTCAGCAAACTCAATGCTTGAACCTATCTATGGTAACCGACTTTGTGAATATATCATCTGCATTTTTTGAAGTGTGAACCTTTTGCAGTAATATCTTCCCACAAGTCACCATCTCTCTAGTCTTGTGAAATCTCACATCAATATGTTTGGTCCTAACATGATCTACGTGGTTTTTTTCCAAGATAGCATTATCGCTATCGAAATGTAGTGGAAGTCTATCTTGCTCAATGTACTCTGCTTCAATTGTGGACTTAGCAACAACAACCCGAATTGATGATGTACATATAAATGGCCCACCTGCAAGTGTGAAGGTAGACCCTTTTGTGGACATTCTATCATCTAAGTTTCATGTATAGTCTGAATCAATATGATCAATAACTAAAGGCTTGTTGTGTAGGTTGTGAAACACGATACGAAGACCTTTAGTCCCCTTCAAATACTTTAAAATCTTTTGACTGCTTCCCAATGTTACTTCCTCGGTTTCAACATGTACTTGCACACTTGACTAACTACTTGTGTCAAGTCCGGTCTACTGCAAACCATAACATACATCAAACAACCCATTGTAGTGCCATATGGAACCTTTATATGTACTTCTCTCCAACCGTCTTGGACACTGATATAGGGAAAGCTTGAAGTAATTTTCCAAGGGAGTGCTTATTACTTTAGTATTGCTCATCAAATCTCTCTAAGATCTTTTTAACCTAGCTTTGTTGGGAGAGCCATGGTTTTCTATATCCCTTGTCCTTGTGAATCTTTATCCCAATAATCTTCCTATTAGCCCCTAAATCTTCATGTTAAACTTCTCACCCTACATTATTTTCAGCTCATTGATATCACTCAAATGATTAGCAGCAATCAACATATCATCCACATAAAGTAGCAGAAAAATAAAAGAGTCATAATCAAGGCTTCTCAATTAAACACGACAATCATACTCATAATGCTTGTAACCAAACTTCAACATATAAGTGTCAAATCACTTGTACCATTGTCTCGGAGATTGCTTCAACCCATATAGAGATTTCTTCAACTTGAAAATCAAATGACTTTGTCCAGCTACACCAAACCATTTTGGTTGCGGCATGTAAAATTTCTCCTCTAATTCACCATGAAGAAAGGCAATATTCACATTCATCTCTTCTAAGTTCATATCCCGGTTGGCTACCAAGACAAGAAATGCCCTGATAGAATTGTGTCAAACTAGTGGGGAGAAAAGCTCATTGTAGTCGACCCCCTTGTATTGTGAATACTCTTTTGCTACATGACAAGCCTTGAACAGCCCCCTTCTTTTTCTGATATTGTTGGCTTCCTCTTGTATACCCACTTGCACACAAATGCACATTTTGTTGGGGGCAATGGGACAAGCTCTCAAGTTTGGTTCTTTTGTAAAGAATTCATCTCCTTCATCATGACACACATCCATTGTTCTTTCTCCTAACTATTTATTATTTATAGAACGCTATATGGATCTCCTGAACTGATATGAAGAGCAACTGAAGCCATATTCCCAAAGTCATATCTCTCTAGAGGTTTGATATGATGTATATATTTGTCTCTAACAAGTAGATACTCATGCACATCTGAACTCTCCTCATGAGAATAATCAAGTTCTTGACTTGAATTTGTGCATGATTTCTTGCATTTCTTCACTTGAATCAATTCATTACTCACTGGAATCATATTTGTTCCCAAAATCACTCAATTTTGGTTGAGTACCTCTATCAAAATTGATTGTTCTAACATGAAATCTTCATCAAACGCTACATATCTACTCAATACCACTTTTCCGGAAACTGGATCCCATAACTTGAACTCATTCATACCTTTGTTATATCCAATGAAGATACACCTCTTTGACATGAGACCAAGTTTATACAATTCATTATTAGTTATTTGTGCATAAGCTAGACAACCAAATATAAGCAAAATATTGTAATTGAATAGGTTACATGTTGATATTTCCTCTCTAACTTTACCATTCAATGAAGCTCATGGTGATATATTGATGAAATAGCATGTCATACTAAGTGTCTCTGCCCAAAAACATTTGGAAAGTCTAGCATTCAGTCTCAAGCATCTGACCCTCTCTATAAGAGTCTTATTCATCCTCTTTGTAACACCATTATGTTGAGGGGTTTTCTTACTGAAAAGTTCCTTTGAATTTCATGTTCCTCAAAGAATTTCTGAAACTGTGACTTTTTATGCTCC